TCTTGTCTGCAGCCCCGCTGTTAAGTGAACCCGTAGAAGAGTCCAGTGCAGAGCTACAAAGATGATTAAGGGGATGGAACATCTCTCTTATGAGGAGAGGCTGAGGAGCTGTGACTTTAGCTTGGAGGAGACTGAGGGGTGACCTCATCAGTGTTTACAAATATGTAAAGGGTGAGTGTCAGGATGATGGAGCTAGGTTTTTTCAGTGATGTCCAGTGATAGGACAAGGGGCAATGGGTGTAAACTGGAGCACAGGAGGTTCCATGTGAACATCAGGAAAAATTTCTTTACTGTGAGAGTGACAGATGGCTGGAACAGGTTGCCCAGGGGGGTTGTGGAGTCTCCTACGTTGGAGATACTCAAGGCCCGCCTGGACAAGTTCCTGTGTGATGTACTCTAGGCTACCCTGCTCTTGCAGGAGGGTTGGACTAGATGATCTTGTGCCAGATTTGTGCCAGAGCCTGATGCTGCCGGGGGAGGGAGGACAGCATTCCACCTGCGTGAGGTGTGAGCAGGTAGAAGATCTGCTTAGCCTGGTGGCAAGACTTAAGGAGGAGGTCGAGACGCTGAGGACCATCAGGGAGTGTGAAAGGGAGATCGACTGGTGGAGTAACTCCCTGGCGTGCCGGTCGGAACGGTTCCAGGGAGATACCCCCCAAAAGGGGAAGGACCCCCTGCCCTCTCAGGCAGAGGGGGATGGCCCGAGACAGCCCCTGCCCTGTAGCTGTTGCGCAGAGGTAGGGGACCAAAAAGACGACGAGGGTTGGAAGCGAGTTCCGGTTCGACGTCGGCGGAAACCCTCCCCCCTTCCTGCCCTGCTTCCCCAGGTGTCCGTCCGTAATAGGTTCGAGGCCCTGGATCTTGAAGGAGAGGTAGGTGAGAATGTGGGGCAAGGCCAGCCCACAAGGCCACATAGGAAAAGGGGGTCGACTTTGCACCTCAGGACTGCCTCTGTTAAGAAAGAAAGAAGGGTCATTGTAGTAGGGGATTCCCTTCTGAGAGGAACAGAGGGCCCGATATGCAGAGTTGACCCTCATCATAGGGAAGTGTGTAGTCTGCCTGGAGCCCGGATCAGGGATATCACCAGGGCGCTCCCCAACCTGGTGCACCCGACAGACTACTACCCGCTGCTGGTCTTCCAGACAGGTGGGGAGGAAGCTGCTTCCCGCAGTCTGAGGGGGATGAAGAAAGACTACAGGGCCTTGGGGAGGATGGTGAAAGAGTCTGGGGCTCAAGTGATCTTCTCCGCACTCCTTCCATCTTCCACTGATGATGTGGGAAGGAATGGGAAGATTCAGTTCATGAACAATTGGCTACGAGACTGGTGCTACAGGCAGGGCTTTGGATTCTTTGATAACGGCTGGTTTTATAGGGCACCAGTCTGGACAATGACAAGTGAGAAAGGTTTGTCTCACAGAGGCAAAAGGATGCTGGGGCACGAATTAGCAGGGCTCAGTTGGAGAGCTTTAAACTAGATTCGAAGGGGGATGGGGTTGTTGCTGGGCTTGCCCCAGTGGGGCAGCGCTCCAGAATTAATGAAGACTGGGAGGCCTCCTATAATCCTAGGGTGAAATCGGTGTGCTCAGCTCGCTCCCTGGAATGTCTGTGCAGCAATGCGCGCAGCATGGGAAATAAGCAGGAGGAGTTGGAAACCTGTGTTAAGTCAGGAGACTATGATCTGGTGGCAATTACAGAGACGTGGTGGGACAGCTCACATGACTGGAATATAGTCATGGAGGGCTATGTCCTTTTTAGGAAAGACAGGCCAGCCAGGAGGGGTGGTGGGGTTGCTCTTTATGTGCGGGAGGAACTACAATGCACCGAGTTCTGTCTGGGGACAGATGACGAGCGAGTTGAGAGTCTGTGGGTGAGAATTAAGGGGCAGGCTGGCAGGGGGGATACTGTTGTAGGTGTCTGTTACAGACCACCAGATCAGGGTGAGGAAGTTGACGAGGCCTTCTACAGGCAGCTGAGAGCGGCCTCACAGTCACAGGCCGTGGTCGTCGTGGGGGATTTTAACTTCCCTGATGTTTGCTGGAAGGACCACTCAGCACCCCAGCCACAGTCCAGGAGGTTCCTCCAGTGTGTGGATGATAACTTCCTCCTGCAAATGGTGGATGAGCCGACCAGGAGAGGAGCGCTGCTGGATCTCATCCTCACTAACAAGGAGGATCTGGTTGAAGCAGTAAGGGTTGAGGGCTGCCTTGGTTGCAGCGACCACGAGATGGTGAAGTTCAGGATCTCGTGGGGTAGGACTAGTAGAATACCAAGTAGATTTGCAACCCTGGACTTTAGCAGGGCAAACTTTGGCCTTTTCAAGCAATTGCTAGGGGAAATCCCATGGGCAAGGCTGCTTGAAGGAAAAGGGGCCCAAGATAGTTGGTTGACATTCAAGGACTGCTTTTTCCGTGCTCAAGATCGGAGCATCCCGACACGTAGGAAGTCAAGGAAGAGGGCCAAGAGACCTGTGTGGCTAAATAGGGAATTGCTGGGTATGCTCAAGTGGAAGAGGAGAGTTTACAGGTCATGGAAGGAGGGGCTGGCCACTTGGGAGGAATATAAGGCTGCTGCTAGGGGATGTAGGAAGGTAGCTAGGAGGACTAAGGCTTCCTTAGAATTAAACCTGGCAAGAAGGGTCAAGGACAGCAAAAAGAGCTTTTTCAAGTACATGGCAGACAAAACTAACACCAGAGGCAATGTAGGCCCACTGATGAACGGGATGGGTGCCCTGGTGACAGAAGATGCAGAGATGGCAGAGTTACTGAATGCCTTCTTTGTCTCTGTCTACTCTGCTGCAGGCAGTCCTGAAGAGCCCTATACCCCTGAGACCTTAGATGAAGTCAGGTCGACGGAGCGACTTGCCTTAGTCGATGAGGAATGGGTTAGAGATCAGTTGAGCAATCTGGACGTCCATAAATCCATGGGTCCAGATGGGATGCACCCGCGGGTGCTGAGGGAACTGGCGGAAGTCATTGCTAGACCACTCGCCATCATCTTTACCAAGTCCTGGGAAACGGGAGAGGTGCCTGAGGACTGGAGGAAGGCAAATGTCACTCCGGTCTTCAAAAAGGGCAAGAAGGAGGACCCGGGTAACTATAGACCGGTCAGCCTCACCTCCATCCCTGGGAAAGTGATGGAACACCTTGTCCTTGGTGCCATCTTAAAGCATATCAAGGATAAGAGGGTTATGAGGGGCAGTCAACATGGCTTCACCAGGGGGAAATCATGTTTGACCAATCTCTTAGCCTTTTATGAGGAAATAACACGGTGGATGGATGATGGCAGAGCGGTGGATGTGGTCTACCTTGACTTCAGCAAAGCCTTTGACACAGTCTCCCACAGCATCCTCACGGCTAAATTGAGGAAGTGTGGACTGGATGATCAGGTAGTGAGGTGGACTGCGAACTGGCTGAAGGAGAGAAGCCAGAGAGTTGTAGTCTATGGGGCTGAGTCTAGTTGGAGGCCTGTAACTAGTGGAGTGCCTCAAGGGTCAGTACTGGGACCGGTATTATTTAATATATTCATCAATGATTTAGATGAGGGAATTGAGTGTACTATCAGCAAGTTTGCTGATGACACTAAGCTGGGAGGAGTGGCTGACGCGCCAGAAGGCTGTGCTGCCATCCAGCGAGACCTGGACAGGCTGGAGAGTTGGGCAGGGAATAACTGGATGAAATATAACAAGGGAAAGTGTAGAGTCCTGCATCTGGGCAGGAACAGCCCCAGGTTCCAGTATAGGTTGGGGAACGACCTGCTAGAGAGCAGTGTAGGGGAGAGGGACCTGGGGGTCCTAGTGGACGACAGGATGACCATGAGCCAACACTGTGTCCTTGTGGCTAAGAAGGCCAATGGCATCCTGGGGTGTATTAGAAGGGCGGTGGTTAGTAGGTCGAGAGAGGTCCTCCTTCCCCTCTACTCTGCCCTGGTGAGACCCCATCTGGAATATTGTGTCCAGTTCTGGGCCCCTCAGTTCAAGAAGGACAGGGAGCTGCTGGAGAGAGTCCAGCGCAGGGCAACCAAGATGATTAAGGGAGTGGAGCATCTCCCTTATGAGGAAAGACTGAGGGAGCTGGGTCTTTATAGTTTAGAGGAGACTGAGGGGTGACCTTATAAGTGTCTATAAATATATAAAGGGGGAGTGTCACGAGGATGGAGCCAGGCTCTACTCAGTGGCAAACAATGATAGGACAAGGGGTAATGGGTGCAAACTGGAACACAAGAGGTTCCACTTAAACTTGAGAAGGAACTTCTTCTCAGTGAGGGTGACGGAACACTGGAACAGGCTGCCCAGGGAGGTTGTGGAGTCTCCTTCCCTGGAGACATTCAAAGCCCGCCTGGACACATTCCTGTGTAACGTTATCTAGGTGTTCCTGCTCTGGCAGGGGGACTGGACTAGATGATCTTTTGAGGTCCCTTCCAATCTCCAGCATACTGTGATACTGTGATCTTTTGAGGTCCCTTCCAACCCTTGGGGTTCTGTGATTCTGTGATCATGATCACTAGAGAAACCACTGATTTTTTAATTTTTTTATTTTTTTTTTTTTCTCTCGGAGGGAGAGCAAAAGCTTGTTCTTGCAATATGAAGCACATGTACTTACTTCAGTGGTACTTGGATAAAGTTTTTTGACTCGGCAGTGATAAGATGCTCATTCACAGTAAGGCTTTTAAGTACTGTGCTTGTACTGGTGTTTAGGGGGTGTAATTCAGCGTGTGCCTGGCTGTGGCAATCCAAAGGAACTCTGTTTTACCTGTTCAGAAGAGGCTGCCTTGCGGCAGTGAGTCTGAGCACTGGGCGCTCCTCGTTCAGCTGTGGAAGGCTTCACTAAGGTAAGCGGGGCTGCTAGGGGTTGGTTCACTTAACGGCGGCGCTGCAGACAAGACGGAAGTGGGCGCAAAGGCCACTTTCCCGCGCCTCGAGCGCGCCCCCTGGCAGTGCAGGAGGCGGGCAGGTGGGCGGGGCGCTGACGCAGCCGCCCGGCGCCCCGCCTTTAGACCTCCCTGACAGCGCGTGAGGACGCCGCCCCGCCTCCGCCGCCAGGGGGCGCATCTGCGCGGCGGCGGCAATGGCGGGCGGGGAGGGGGTTGCGGCTGCGGCTGGTAGTGCCGCCGCTGAGGGGAGCGAAGCCGGGAAGGGCGGCAGCTACGACGGCAAGTGCGTGTTCTGCAGGATCGCCCGCCGCGAGGAGCCGGGCACGGCGCTGCTCTCCTCCGAGGTCGGTCGGGGGCGTCCCGCGGGCGGAGCTCTGGGAGCCGCCGCCCCCGTCCTGTCCCGTGGGTGCCGGGCCTCCGCTGGAAGGGGTGGGGGTCTTGTCGGCCGGTGCGGGTGGCTGATGTTCGTTGCCAGTTGTTACCGGAGAGCCGAGCGCTGGCTGCCGCCATGTTGGTGCTGGGACAGCCCCTGCGTCGATCGCGGTGCTGCTGGGCACCGCGGCCCGCGGGGAGGGTGGTGCTCCGGGGAGAGCTAGAGGGCTGAGGGAGCAGTTTGACAACGAGAGGTCGAAGCCTGAGGTTGGGCCTTGAGGCGTCCGCCTGGTGCCGGCCCGCCCTCCCTCCCTCCTTTTCACCCTCTCGGCCCGGCATGCGAGGTCGGGAAGGGCCTGGGTTCGGAAGGCTTGGAGGGTCTGGGGCAGTGCTGAGAGACCTCGGCTCTTCTGTGGAGATCGGAGTGAAATGTGGGTCAGAAGGAAAACACTGTCATCCTTAAAGGTCGGTACAACAGCTAGAAACTCGACACGGAGGTATCCTGGCTGCAGGTCAGCTGAGGACATACCACCCTCCCAGGTTTTTCTGGAGGCTAGGTCCAAAAAATGTGAAGGTTTTTGCTAGCTACTTCAAATACTCTGTGTACTATAGTATTGATGTGGGGAATGTGGACTTTGCTATCTACTCTTTGCTGATATCTTAATCAATTTAATATGTTTGCATCTTTTTTTAGTATGAAGACATCACTTGCTTTAGAGATTGCAGACCTGGAGCTCCCCACCACTATCTGGTGGTGCCGGTGGAACACATGGGAAACTGCAAAACACTGAAGAAAGAACACATACCTTTAGGTAAGAGTGCAAGTGTCTGTTCAAAGGAAAATAATTTCACACAGCCTTAAATAGTGTGTTGTCAAGTAAATTATGCCTCTGAGCATCATTTGGTTGAGGATGTAAACACGGAAATAGATGGTACGAGTCAGTGCAGGCAGACACTTGCACTTGCTGGGAGCTTCATGTACTGTTCTAGAGGAGCACATTTTTTGTGCCATGTTAGAAAAACATTGCACTACTGTATGAAGTCTCTTTTGTTTGCATGGAGTAGAGATGCCTCTGCACTTTCCTGTAACTGCAGCTTTATTTTTAAAGCATTTATGTGAGACTTTATTGTGTTTTCTTAGGCATATGTGCAATTTCGTGTTATATTTAAAATACAGCAGAATTTTATTAAATGTATGTTTCAAAAGAAGTGTTACGTTATTTTTCACGGAAAAAGGGAGTGAGAGAAAAAAGAGGGATATGTTTTTTCAAGAAACATCAGTAATTTTTGAAAAAATAAGGTTATAAAACTCTGAAGCTGATGTATTGTTAATAGGCTTCTTTTTCCTTTTTTTTTCTTAAGAAAACATTGTCCTGTGATTTGTTTCACAAGAAATGCCTAAGTGTGTTGAGTAACAGGAAAAACTACAACCCATATGTGCCTGAAGATATTCCACCTCAGGGAAACTTATAGGTGGTGCAAGAAAAGAAAGAGTTATAGTTGCGTGTTGCAAATCTTGCATTACTGTATTTTCCTTTTAACCATAGGGTAGCTTTCTCCAGAAAAGAACTTCTATATGCATTTGGCTTCAAGACAATTCCTCAGACTTGCCTTAGTGTTGCTTCTTTTCTCAGTGATACCCTGATGAAATGTTGTCCTAGTAATAAATAGTACTTACAGTTTTGTTTCAATTTAAATTCATGTACCATCTCTGAAACTTCCCAACTTCCCCAGGCTGCCCATGATCAAAGTCCTGTAGCTGTGTAGAGATATAACACTGGAATTAGTGTAAATGTCATTAATTCTAATCAGTCAATATTTGTTACTTTTTTTCATGAGGGTGTGGTGATGGCATGGCTTATGTACAAAGTTCTTAGGATAATATCACACTTAAGAGCATCAGTAGTGTGGGAATTGGTTACAGTAGCAGTTTTCATGTCAATCATTGCACATTGCACCACACTGTCTTGGAAGTCTTTGATTCTGAATAGTTGCCATATTTGTATCTTGAAAAAAACATTTGTGATCTTAGTGTAATCAGTTTGTTGAAGTTAATATTGTGAAGAGTAGCATTTTAAAAAATCACTTGACATATGATGTCCAAAATACTACTTAAATGTTAATTGAAATTTATTTGTGTTTAATAGTGAAGAGAATGATGGAAGTTGGAAAAGCTGTCCTCCAGAGAAATTACTTTAGTGACTTGCATGATGTAAGGTATGTAATGGAAACCTTCTGTGTTTATTGAGTATGGTTTTTTTACTTTTCAGAATGCTATTTTAGAGGTGGGGGCAACAAGTACAGTGTGATTTATTGAAGAAATCTGGTCTGCACTCACTTATTGCATGGTTTCTCAAGTAGAATATGCTGGTATTCAATTTTTTTTTTTTTTTCTGATGAATTTCCAGCTCAGATTATGTTCCAACTCAGATCCTTTCCTGACCACATCTTGGGATAGGGAGGGCACTTCAAACAACTTACCTAAAAGGCTGCTCTTTAAGTACGAGCTGAAAATATGCTCTAAGTCCTAGATTCCGGAAGAGAAGTAAACTTTGTCCTGTTCAAGCAGGGCACTGCGTTGTGTTTCAATTGTATCTGCATTCATTTGATTGCAGTGCTGCACCCTTTAGCTTAAATTGAATGGTGTAGGGGGCTGGGCCTTCATGATAAAAATAGGTAGAAACTACATTAATCTAGTGACACTTGGCTTTCCAGCTGAAAACTAGATATAATACATTTAAGATACATTTTATTTTTAAACCCTCCTTTCATCAAAACGTGTCTTAAATACAGAGGTGCGAAGGAGAAAGTCAGTGGGCTCTTGAAAAGGTTCCCTGAAAGCATAATGAAAGGTGTATTATTGTTCCTACCGTTATGTACAAGGAAAGTGCCATGAGTTGTTAATTGCTGATGTTGAAGAACTTGCAATGTTCCACTTCTTCCTGAATTAACATTACCAGTATTTCTTTACTTGTTTTCCTTTTCTGAAGAATGGGTTTTCACTGGCCTCCATTCTGCTCAATCTCCCACTTGCATCTTCACGTCCTGGCCCCAGCCAGCCAGCTAGGATTCTTATCCAGACTCTTTTACAGAATCAATTCCTACTGGTTTATCACGGTAAGTGTAATGCAGGTGAGCTTTTCGATAGGTTTTCAATTGTAAGCTGAAAATATGATGTCTTTCTAACATTTTAACTACGTCCAGAGTTTCTTAGAATAGTTTTTTTGCGTTACTGTAATTGTTATGTATATTTTGCAGTAACTATTTGAAAAAATCTAATGGTAAAACCTGTAGTGTTTATGCTTGTTAAGGGGAATGGAGTGCCTGTACCATTAGCAGCAAGCAGTACAGTAGTTCTGGATCTAATATATATCTGAGGTTAATGTGATGGGCTTCTGAGAACATTTTGTAAATATTTGCTCTTTAATTTAAAAGGATATGTACAAATGTGATGGACTGTTGTGCATACACCCTGGTTTATCCAATTCAGGTGAAAATATCCACCAAATGATCACTTTTATCAGGTCACATGGATTTTGTCCTCTTGACATCTTTAGATTAAAACAAGTGCCTGCTTTACAAAAACATGGTTTGTAGTGATTTTTGTCAGTACAGAAAAGCAATAAGACTGAACTGGCACTAACTACTACATCACTTTGAAAATACCTCTCTCAAGGACTAAAGCCTACTCTCACTGCTTTGATACAGCAAAGAACTTGTCCTTGTGATGTAGCTACAGCATCCCTGTGTGTTGTAAAATTCAGTTTTACTTGTGTTTGAAATGTGTTCTGCTTTCCCTTTAGTCAAAGCATTACAGGTGTAGTTACTGAACAGATCCGGCTCTTAAAAACATAAAGCATTATGCAGCCATGGGAACTCTCTGGAGTGTCACCCGTCCTCACTCAGCACTGTGAATTGTCTGGCATTGTGAACTTGGACACTTCAGGATACGTTTTTCAGAACAGTCAAATGCTTTATGCCAAATGAGATGTATAATTTATTTGTCCTTGCACAGCAAGGTAGAAAATGCAGCGTTTGAGGATACCTGGAGAATCGGCGTTGCTTTCTGTCCTCACATTTCATCCACTCAGGGGGCAGTTACAGTAGCTTCTCTTTTTAAGAGATGTAACTCGCAAAGTTCTGTTGCAAGCAGGGTGACGCTTTTGCTTCTTGCCATGCAACGTCTGATCTAGGGATGAGGTGGAGAACTAGATGGCAGGGGGATTGGAACTACATGATCTTAAGGTCCCTTCCAACCCAAGCCATTCTATGATTCTTGCCATGGAAGGTCATTGCACAGCCCCAAAACAAAGATGCCGAAAAAGGTCATCTGAAGAATATAGATAGCCTCTTAATGAGAAAAACCTTGGCTTCTTCACAGTAGTACCTTGCTGGAGATCTCACCTAGCATGAAAAAAGCAGGTGTCTCTGCTGTACTGTAGAGCATCACACAGATATTTGGCCGTCATAATAAGTATAGCTGTGTAGTTTAATTGCTTACTTTCTTGGATTAGACAGGGAGATCAGTACCAAGTTTGGTATCCAGTATGGATATACTTCCACAGAAATACTTGTTTCAGAAGTGCGCATGTTAGTTTCCATGTGCCCAGTTTGGCCTGCTAGAACAACATTGGCAGGCCAGTGTTGTCTTTCTGCCTCGAGCCTTTCTGCAGGCTCCGTGGGCTGTTGCTGTTAAATATACAAGATACAGCTGTGCCAGTTATGTGCTACATGCATAAATAACTACATGGTGAGAAAAGTATGTGTGAGCATAGTTACATAACCAGAGAATGGATGTGTATCTCGTGACATGAACCACATGTGAATGCACTCCATCCCTCAGCAACATATGTGGCTAGTGTACAGCTTGTTGGGTGATGAGAGGCCACAACACCCTGTCTCCCAAAGAATTCCAGTTCTCAGAGCTTGGTTGTTCTGAGCGCTGCTGTCTTTTGAGGTCTTTAAAACCACACAGCTTTATATGCTATTTATTTGCTTAAGCATCCTCTGACTTTAATAGGTTCTGTTTTCTCTTCTGTGGGCCTAATGGGAGTTTGATGGAAACTGAAAGAGAGTCTGCTGTTTAAAACAGTCATTGTATTCTGCTTGTTTTATGCTTTGTCTGCAAAAATGAAAAGTAAGTGCTCTGTCAGTGTCACTATTTTTAAAATTGAATTTTCAGTAAACTGAAGGTCCACGGTGTAGTTAATACATTGCTTTCTCTGTTTCATAGGCTGAACAACTGATTGAGCGACTGCAAGCTGAAAATGCTACCAGCTGAAAGCACTCTTAGCCTTGTGTCGCTAGCCAGTTTGTTCTTCAGCTTTGGCCTCTGCTTTAAGGTTGCACAGTTTGATGTTGCCAATAATAAACCAGGATAAAAAAAACAAGAGCTTTAGTTCCTTATGAGGAAATACACACCAAATGTGTAGCTGCCAACCTAAGTTTCCCATTTGGATATTTAGTCTACGTACTTCTCTGACAATAAGGCAATATATTTTAATTATAATTTTGTATTTGTGTATATGCATACATAATACATACATACACATAGTCACACATGCAGAGAACTTTCCTCAGTAAAAGGCAGGTATAGCAACAGAATATATTGCAACTAAGGCACAAGTTAACTACTAACAGCATGTACATGATAACAAAGGGAATATTTGTTGCGGAATCAAGCTTTTATTTTGAAGCGGCGTTGTGCTAGGATTGCAACTAACATTTAAGTTTCCATCTGTATTTGTATAATATGCTAGTTATGCCTAGTGATTAGTAAGTACATGCTGAAAGAACACTACTAATTTTCTGATGCTAAACCACTTTAATATATTACCTGTCTTTCATGACAGTGGCAATGTTAGTACAATAGGTGCCCAAGATATCATAACGCTATATAACGTAGACCATAGTTTAAGTGTCTGTGTAAGTGGTTGTATGTTGAACTTAAAGGTTGTTTCCCTCTTACTTACACAATATTTGAAATTAATTGTTTACAAAAAATGTGAAGAGTTCAAGAGGAGTTGATTTAATATACTGTTCTTCTGTGTGATAACAGAAAAAATAATCCAAATTTTTAGATGGTTCTGATATTGTTCCTACTGGAAGTTCCTTGGAGATTACTCATGCCTTGGCTAAGTTTGCATTCTAAATGAAGTCCTAAGAGACATGTGTTTTGAGTGAGTATGTGGCAGGCTTGCTAATAGCAATGTGATTTGAATTCGGGATAGCGGGGACTGAGCCCAAAATTAGAACAAGTTGGGTTGGTTAAGGAATCTGCTGAACATTTTGCCTTTGCTGTATGACTCTAATGAGTAACACTAGTGCTTTGCTTTTCAATACCATATTAAGGCAGACTGGAAAGTCAGACCTCCAGAATACATGGGGTGGATTTTCCTTCACAGAGCGTATCTCTCAATGCCCAGTTAGTCAAGTGCCCTTGGCTGATGCATTTGATGCAGTTGAGGTGTTAGTGGTCTGTTGCACCTGTGAGCTTCCCTGAACAGTATCTGCTCAGTGTTTTTCATTGATCCAGCACCTGTTGCCTTAGTTGTACAATGTATTGTAATATTCTTACGGTGAACTATATGTAATACTTGAGAAAGTTCACATCCTTCCGCATATCAACACCTTCTATTTGGAAGAGTTTACACCTCTTTTCTGTAAGACCTTCTTCCTAATGTCTTGTTATTCTTACTAGTGGGCACTCATATGTCATTTGCACCCCTTTAGGGTTTAAATTTGTAACATCAGGTAGGAAGAGTGTGAATTAAAGCCACTGAACTTTGACTACTTCTGTGCAATAGATGAGGAGGTTTGAGCTGGCTCCTAGTTTTGTGAAATATCTGAACATTAAGATCTTTCAAGAGCTATGTGTATGTGTTCTGACCTGTTATTAATTTATGTGACTGTACTTAACTGTGACTTGATATTTAAAGTACCGACATGAACTGTTGTCAAAAAGGGTTAATAAACAGAATAAATGTTAATCTTGGAATGATCTTCCAGTGCAGTGGAAGACTTGACTGTGGGGATGGGCATGGATAGCCCTTTGCTTAGTATTCACACCCAGTATGTCTCCCAGAATAGGAAAAGCAGAAGTGAAAAAACTCGTGGGTTGAGATAAATACAGTTTAATAAGTGAAGGAAAGAGGAATGAAAAAAACAAGCTATATGATGCAAAGGTAATCCCTCATGACCTCCCACAAGCAGGCCAGTAGCAGTGGCTGCCTCCGCCCCCAAAAAAGCCTCTCGTATGGTATGGAATATTCCTGCTGGTCAGTTTGTGTCAGGTGTGCAGGGTTTTTGCCCACTGGAGGGGCAGAGCGGGAAAACAAGGCCTTGATGCTGCAAGCACTGCTCAGCAATAACCACACTGGTGTGTTAGGCAACACCGTTTCCGTCACCAACCCAAAACATAATACCTTACAGGCTGCTCTGAAAAAAACTTTGTATCCCAGACAGACCCAGTGTGTTCTCACACGTACACACAAGCACAAAGGTCAACTTCTATGTCTTCCATTTGAGAAGAGTCCCAGTAATGACAGTAAGACTGAAAAGGTACTACAAATCAGGATACAACCTAGCTTCCAAACTTTTACTGATGAGCAAGATAGGGAATTCAGTTTGTCTCTGACAGCAGCAGACAGGCCTCAAATTGGCTAAAACAACAAAGCATTAAACAGACACATTAATTACTGAGATGAATGTTCAGTATCTCATTAGTGTTTCTGAGCATAGAACCGTGTTACGTTTTCTTTCTGTATTGACAACCATTCTTGCACTCAGCAGATAATTTAATTAGGCAAAGAAATACTTTATGAAAAGCCTAATGCTTTGAATATCACTCAGAATTCCTGGCTAGTCCCTGGAAGAGGTGGTGGGCAGACGCCATTAACTGTTACTTTCTTCTACAGCAGCATTATTAACATCATTTTAAAACTTCCAAAATAACCTGTATCACAAAGAGCAATAGAACTCTCTTGGAGCGTGAACTTGGCAGCTCTTACTCTTTGGGAGCCTGGAGAAGCAAAGTGAAGTTTAGCCACTGCTGCTGGCTCTGTTGTTCTTTGATCCAGTATTAGCTGTCCTGAGAAAAGCTGCTTTTTTGACTACAA